TGGAATAAAGTGAGTCTCTAGAGCCTGAAAAGGATTGAGAAATGACCATCAACTAAAGGCACACGCTCCAAAACATGCCTGTTTGGTGACCGATCAAACTAGGTCTATGACAAGTGGTTTGAAGCATTTAAAAGTGAAACGACTACCTTTAGGAGAATCAATGCTCTGAAAATAAAGCAAAAATATACCAAACCTTTAAATAGGATTGAGTAAAAAGGTTGAAAACTGCTAGGAAATTGAAAATGAATGGTTTTGTGTACGCTTAGAGAGAAGAGGGGTACTCTTGCGAGCTCGATGAGAAAAACACTAGGAACCTAGTTGCTGAAGAGTCCAGGTAGATGAAAGGATGATACCGTAATTAGTAGCGTCGACGGACCTGATATAATAATAAACTAAGCCCGAATACCCAAAAAAGGCTATGGTTCCAGTAATCATTAACAAAAAATAGCTGAGGTACTCTGAAAAGAGGTCATATCCAACTACTCGATGATATTCGAAACAACAACAGATGGGGTAAATATCGAAAATGCCCAAAAGCACAAAAAAGTAAAAATGGAGCAGGCTTTTAAAGCCAACCAAGAGCCAAAAAATTAAGCAGACTACCTGTGCAGAAAAGCTTCCAGCAAGGCTGCGAAGAGTGTCCACGGCCTTTTGTCTAACAACAGTTTCTTCTGTTGAAGCTAGGCCCTCAAGCGGAGGCAAGAGGCAAGGAACGTACTCGGGTCCACCGACCAGCGGAACAAATTTCCCTAATTGGTCTGCGAGTTCGCAGAGGATTTCATCCTCGTCATAGATGGAATCCGTCAGAAAAGGAATGAATTCATTGCGGGTGCGCTCAGGCTCCAAAGCCAAAGCGATAGTTGAGAGCTTCTTAAAACTGGCCAGGCGGGTAGACACGTCCTCATTTTTCAACTCATCAATGAGAATCGCAATAGGAAAGAGGTTCTCCTCCTCCTGTTGCTGCTCAGCCATTTCTTGATCTAAGGAAAGTGCAGAAGTCATAACTTACAAAGATAAGGTAAAGGCATTTAGGCAAAGCAAGTACCCCCACATATGTCAAGTAAAATGGCAAAAGAACTAACTACGAATAATGTAGTAAAATAGCGAGGACATTAAAACATTAACGCGTAAATAGAGAAGGTATCCATAAAAACTACCAGGACCTGGCACTTAACAGAAAACCCAGACTAATATAGACGCGAGAAATGCATATCTCGATAGACTTCATGCAAAAAAGCCAGAAAATAGCCACCAAAACTATGATTATCCACGCTTACCCTCTATATTCAGGCTGTTAATTTTCAGAAAATCCGCGACTGAGCGCCTTTAAATAAAAATACCAGAATACGGCGACTCATATAAACAACAAAAGGGAAAAGTACAACCTTACACTTACAGTAAACACAGAAACTCTAATGCCTATAAACATAAGGCCCTTTAATTTGGGTTTAAATCCTTAGTGGTTTAACGCTTTTGCGACTAATCTCGAAAGGGTGTTTAAGCGTTGCCATGTGCTTCATGAATTTGCCAGACTTACAACATCCTTTCCCGAAAACTAAGACAATTTTTTACTCAGCTATTGTTTTTAAAGAAAGTATGTTCTGCGATGTAAGTTGAAATCAAACTATAAATTGCACGAAATCAAAGGTTGCGATTGGGCACTATATTGCGAATCCTACATCTGCAGGCCTCAGGTGCGTCCCACTTGGTGTAAAAAACATTAAATTAGACTAAGCACATGTAACTGAGACGAGAGA